GCCACCAGGGAAAGCTGGGGAGGGCTAGCCTCCTACTAGTTCGAATTAAGGGTCTACACAGCCCTTAATTCGAACTAGTAAGTTCGAACTAGGCTTAATCCTCATGGAATGAGGATTACCTAGTTCGAACTAAGTGCTCCGTTAGTTCGAATTAAATTCGAACTAACGGAGCGCTAGTGTAGCGCCTATGAAAGTTAGTTCGAACTAACGTCCGTTAGTTCGAACTAACTTTGTAGTGTAGACATACCCTGAATTAGTCTGAGTGCATCTCTATGGTTATGGTATTCTTTGGCATTTGTGGTCAATTTGTGAAGAACAGATGAGAGATATGTGCTTATCATATTCATATAAGGAGGATGGATGAGCTTGATACAATGGGTGAAGTAGAATGGATTACTTTACTTTCACTGGGTTGCTAAAAAGGGATGGTATTGCTGCACATGAAAATAGCTGTGGAGCTCAATCCTGGTATGGGAACCCATTACCCTTTTTTCATGCAACAAACAGATTAGGTATACCTCTATATGGGCAACACATGAAGCCTTTTTCCCTTGCTCTGTCCGATACAGTAGTCTCAGGCCACCACATTCTGGCCTTCTGTCATGGATTTGAGGGATGGCCAAGAGTCTGGGGAGTAAGGGGTTAACTGTACCTAGCCAGGTAGCAGTCAGCCAATAGAAATGCAGATAGGGATTTCAAACTGAGACAAAGGAATTTTGGGGTTTTCCCTCCTTTGTCTCTGAGCCAGTTTTGCTCTAGATACTGAGGGAGACAGAAGACATGTCTCTCTCCAAGGCTGTGTCCAGACTCAGGGGTTTTTTCGGGAAAAGTAGCCTTTTCCCGAAAAAACTTCCCCTGCGTCCAGACTCAAGCCGCGTTCTTTCGAAATTATTTCAAAAGAACGCGGCTTTTCTTTCGATGGCGGTAAACCTCGTTTCACGAGGAAGAACGCCTTCCTTCGAAAGTTCCTCTTTCGAAGGAAGGCGTTCTTCAATGTAAAGAGGCCGTCTTCGAAAGAGAGCATCCAGACTCGCTGGGTGCTCTCTTTCGAAAAAGCGGATTGCTCTTTCGAAAGATCCGCCTGCAGTCTAGACCTTTCAAAAGATGCTTTCGAAAGAGCCTCTTTCGAAAGAAGCCTGCAGTCTAGACATAGCCCAAGAAAAAGACTCTTCATTATGTGTAAGTAGGGTAAAGTTTAGATAACTCCATTAGGTTTTATTGTTTTCTGTTGTGGGACTTTGGATCTGATGTCTGTGCTGTTAGAAATGGGTTTCCCTCCCTTTTGTAACTAAGTCCTGAGTCCATGGGAGTCCCCATTAGTATATTAATTAGTGACTTTTTCCATCTAATCATTATGCTTGCAACAGGAGTATTGTTTTGATAATAAAAGTTCTTTCTTTTTATTAACCTGGTATTGGTTCAGTTCTGTGCCCTGGAAAATCTGTATGTGGGATCCACATGCTCTGACTAGGGGCCAGCAGCCACAGACTGCAGTTTATATTTTCTCTTTCATTTTATAGCTCTTTGGAGAAAAGAGCTTGGGGTGCCCTGGGGTTGGTTTCAAAAGCACTTGATGGTGGCAGCAGATTTTTATCCCCAAAATCTAGGTTTTTAAGATTTTTGGGGGAAGCTTTATACCAAAGCCTGGAAAGATAAGGTTTTGGGGTTGCTTTTTGCAGGCCCCCATTTCTACATTCATCGTGCCAGAGTGGGGAATAAACCTTGATACCTTCTCTCTCAGCTTTCTCAAAAAACTTTGCTCCTGCTGATACATCCAATACTTTCTACTCTGCAGTATACACCTGTCAAAAGTTGTACAAGATTTTAATCAGCTAGGGTATGTCTACACTACCCCGCTAGTTCGAACTAGTGGGGTAATGTAGGCATACCGCACTTGCAAATGAAGCCCAGGATTTGAATTTCCCGGGCTTCATT